GGAGCCAAGGTATTTGTGTGCTTTTCACATGAAAGCCTTGTGATGCAGCCATTTGCAATGGAAACTACACTTCAGAGATATTATCAAGATGCATGGCAGTCAGAGAGTGCACGTGGTGAAATAAACTATACGATAAACAGGTCTCTTAGTTTAAAAATTATCCTCTTTTATCCAAGTTCACTATTAAATTCACCATTGTAAATTTGAACTACAGTGTCTATCATAAAAGAACATTTAAAGGTCTTGCCCCTGAAGATGAAAGGTCCACCTTTCGAAAGCGCTCAGATTACAGGGTTTTTATTCATTTCTATCATGACTTCTTGAACCTACGTGTTTTTCTAACATCATAAACATCTTGATTTTAATTTGCTTTCACTTATGGTTTATTACAATGACACAAATAAAAAAAAACTATGATGTTAGAAAAAAACGTACGTTCAAGAAATCAATTTACCACAGACAGGCTTGTCCAGGCAGATTTTATCTCTTACCAAAAACACACAAACCTAATGATCCCAGCTAACCCATAATTGCTAACAAAAACATGGCTACTGAAAAGCTGCCTTCCTTTGTCGACCACCAGATAAAAAGTGTTACCTATACTCTTCCTTCTTACATAAAGGACACGACTCACTTTCTTAATATTGTAGAAGAAATCAATACCAACAGACATTTATAGCTTTGTGTACAATGGACGCTTCTTCCCTTTACACTAATATTCCACATGATGAAGGACTTGAAATTCTGAAATCTGCCCTAACCCTTTCTAACCTATCAGAATCTCAAACAGTAACTGATATTGCCAGCCTTGTCTTATCTTTAAACGAATTTAATAAAAAACATTACCTTCAGGTTAATGGTACGGCAATGGGTTCCAAAATGGCTCCTCACTATGCCAGTATATTTATTGGCCATAATGAAAGCCAGCTTTTACAACAAAACCCTGCAAAACCTCATAGGTGGAAACGTTACACAGATGACTTATTTTTCATTTGAACAGCCGGTTCTGAATTACTTAAAAGACTATTTCTTCTGCCAACAATATTTCAAAACAATCTAGTTTACCTTCGATTATGCTGCTACACAAATTAACTTTCTCGACATCACTGTCTTTTTAAAGGACTGAATATTATACACTGATTTGTACAGAAAATAAACCCACAAACCACAATGTCTTCACTATAAAAGCTACCCTTTCCACTCACATTAATCTGAATATTACCAAAGTCAAGCTCTCCGAATGATGAAATTACAGAAAAACACCATGTATCTGAAACAAGCCAAGTTACAAAGAAGATATAAAGATAACGAAATTGACAGACAGATTGAAAATACTAACAACTCTCAACGAAAAAAAAACATTCTTGAACAGTGTAATAGTAAGGTTTCAAACAGAATTCCTCTTGTTATTACTAATCACTTTAAACTCGGAAACGTTCCCCACATTCTGAAAAAAACATTTTCATCTACTCGAACTGAATGATCGCCTTAAACAACTGTTTTCTGAGGTTCCCGTTGTCTCCTTCCAGAAAGGCAGAAGTCTTAAAGACATCCTTGTTCATGCAAAAGTTAATTACACTCCATCAAAAAATGGTTGTCATCCTTGTAATAAATCTCGTTGTCCAACCTGCAAGTTTTAAAAGCCGCCGACTCTTCTTCCGAACAAATATGACCATAAACAATTTAAAATTTCTAAATAAATTACTTGCACAGCACACAACATCATTTAGCTTATACAGTGTAAAAATACAATTACCAGTATGTAGGACAGACCCAAACAATTCGTAGAAGGCGTCTCAACAACCATAAATCTTCTATTAACACCGAATGTTGCTCAACACTTCAACCAACGGGGTCATTCTATTAACAATGTGACTCTCATCAACATTCAAACTAATTTCAAAACTACAGCTGATAGAGAGATAAGAAAAGCCTATTGGATTGTAACTTTAAATACTGTTCACACGTTTGGAATAAATATACAACCCCGGAATCAGTGATCTCCGATCATAAGTTTGTTCTCTGTCAGGAAGAAAAAAAAAAGTTAGTTTTTGTCCATGTATTGTGAATTCTCAGTTTTCTCTCCTAATCTTTCTAATACTTATTATCTATTTATGATAATTTCCACGTTATTTTTTATAATTATTTCTGTTTAACATTTATTTTTTAATTATTATTTCTGTTTAACATTTATTTTTTAATCATTATTCAAACCTTACTTTTATTTTACTTTATTGACACTCAATGTAGTTTCTCTCAACCATTTGTCTTTTTTAAAAACAATACATCTCTAATTTCTTTACACCTAACATTTCTGTTTCCGGTAGTGTTGCACCGTAATGAGAAACACTTATAACAATACAATGCAATTTACTCAAAACACTTCCATATGTCGCTAGTGGCATGCATGACGTTACTCCAACTTCATCTCACACCTTGTTATACTCAGTCATTCCCAGTTTGCACCTGAAGAAGAAAGGTCCACCCTTCGAATGCGCTCGAGCTATAGGGCATCATATTTTTATACTACAACTAAAAGCCCAATGAAGATCTTAGTATGCCGTGTTAAAATCCAAAAGATTTCTAAATGAAGAGTTAGGTAACATCAACGAATTTAAGGTGGAGAAAAAAAAGTTTTTTTTGTCCACTGGCATTATAAAAACAAACTAAGGTCAACAGCCAAAACGTGGTATTCTAAACTACCTATAGTTATCTGTAGTATTGCATTATATTACAAAACGTGTTTTGTATGTAAAAATATATATACAAGGTGCCTAAGCTTCTTCATAAAGCTGACCTGAAAATAAAGGCGTGTTTTAAAACCATGATGCAGTTTACGTTTCTCCATGTATAATGACAAAATATCGATGTGGAAAACTTACACGTTTATGCTACTCATAAGATATAAGATTCTACCACTAGATGGTTAAAGGCTCGACCAAATAAATGACCATGTCACTGATAAAGCAGCTACCAAACGTTAGGTTACTGTGACGTATTGTTCATCAAATTAACTAAGGTCCTAACTAATAACAACGACAAGATTAGTATCCATGAAAACAAAGTATGCTTACCGTCTTTGAGTTTCAGATCACAACTGAACCCAAATTTACTCGATCATTCCTCCCGTTATAAAGTAATAACTTCTGTTTTTATGATTAACACTGTTGTGGACATTAACCGTCAAATTTCAAATAATTAGCCACACTGCTAAAACTATAATAAGTAAGTTACTTTTTAATGATTTAAAACATCTCTTACATGTAACAACTTTAGATCTTTTGACAACTGTTTCAGATAGATCACGACTTGACGAGGGAAGGAAGGTACATCAAAACAGTTAAAGAAGATATATTGGAAAGACTTAAGGTTATATAATATACAAACACATCAAGAAAATTGAAGAAAACTGAAATGTGGATTGAAGGTTAGTGCACATACAGACTACAAAAGTTGGTGAAACTAAGGAGGATTTAAGGTAAGTTAACAAACAAGTGAGAACATTTCATGAAAAATAAGAAGAATTTAAGGTTAGTGTACAGACAGGTCAGGACAGTTAATGAAAACTAACGATGATTTAAAGTGTACACAAAAGTCAGAAGATTTGGTGAAACTAAGAAGGATTTATGATTAGTGTACAGACACATCAGGGCAGTTGATGCAAACTAAGAAGGATTTATGGTTAGTGTACAGACAGGTCAGGACAGTTGATAAAAACTAAGGAAGATTTTCAGGTTAAATAGTGTACAAATAAATAGATCAGTACATCTGATGAAACCTGAGGAAAATTTAAAGTTAGATAGTGTACAGACAGGTCCAGACAGTCAATAAAAACTGAGTAGTGTTTATGGTTAAATGTACAAACAGGTCAGGATGGTTAATGAAACTAAGGAAGATTTATGGTTAAGTGTACAGACAGTTCAAGACATTTGATGAAAACTAAGGAGGAGTTAAGGTTAGATTGTGTTTTGACTAATTAGGACAGTTGAGGAAAACTAAGTAGGATTTATGTTTAGGTGTACAGACAGGTCAAGAGAGCCAATAAAAACTAAGGAGTGTTTATGGTTAAGCATACAGACAGGTCAGGACAGGTAATGAAAACTAAGGAGTGTTTATGGTTAAGTGTACAGATAGGTCAGGACAATTAATGAAAACTAAGGAGGATTTAAGGTTAGATAGTGTACAAATACATCAGTACAGTTGATGAAACCTATGGAGAATTTAAAGTTATATAGTGTACAGACAGATCAGAACAGTTGAGAAAACTAAGGAGGTCTTATGGTTAGATAGTGTAAAGGCAGATCAGGACAGTTTATGAAACCTAAGGAGAATTTAATATTAGATAGTGTACAGACTGGTCAGGACAGTCAATTAAAACTAAGGAAGATTTGTTTTTAAGTGTACAGACAAGTTAGGAAATTTTATGAAAACTAAGGTGGATTTAAGATTAAATATTGTACAAATAGATCAGGACAGTTCATGAATATTAAGAAACATTTCTGGTTAGTTTACTGACAGGTTGGGACAGATGATTAAAAATAAAAAGGATTTATGATTATTATACAGACAGGTCAGGGCAGGTGATGAAAACTAAAAGAGATTTAAAAGTTAGAAGTTATAATTTTCCTATACTTAAAATATATTTCCAATACATACTTACCTCTCCTCACATATATAGCTATGCTGCCCTCCACATGCAAAAACAATTTTGTATGTTACAAGAGTTGCACTCCCACTTACCCATGATAAACTTGGTTCCACTGCATCTCGCATGCAAAACTATACCTATATCAATCACTTTTTTCTCATAATTTGCAGCCTTGAGCTGCACAAATATTTGCTTTGAGACATTCAACACAATAATTAACCTTTAGGTATCTGACTAAGTAGACCTTAACATGAAGTTTATGTAACAGAACTATTGTGAATCTTAACAGTTCAGTATATTTTACATTTCTATGATTATAGCATGCCAGTTGAACTGAAACAATGGTATGATATAACTAAAACAAACTATTTATTTATATTTCTTTCATTGGTGTGAAACAATAAAATCTTGAAGGTAAGAAATTAGGTGTAACTATTTCTTTCATGAAACTTACTGCTGTTCAAAGAATGAGCTCTTTTTATCAACACTGAATATATAAATGTGAAAATACATAAAGTTAATAAGTAAGAATGCATTGGAGTTATTTTTATGAAATACAACATACAGCACATACACTATGAGTCAAAACTACAGACAATAATTCTACGTAATTCTAGTTGATGCACAGTTCTATCTGACGCAAAGTGAACCCAAGTGGGAGACATTAATTGCACCATTACATGAATCATGGTAAGTCATTAGTTGTCCATGGAAGCTAATAAAACAATATGATTTTACTTAAATCTTTACATTTTTTAACTACATTCATGGTATTTTAAATGTATTTTCTTGCATACAAATTTCCAACTCTTTCTCAGTTAAATCTTTACCACACCTAAAACTTTGATTAAATTGCATCAAAACATAATTAATTTGAATTAAATTCACTGCTTAAATAGGACCTGATAACATCACCTGCATCAGTTTAGCCCAGGATTACAGATAAATAAGAATGGGAACAAAATATTAACTATATATGAATATCCACTTTTTCAAAATATTTCTTCTCAGAAGTAATTGTCATCATTTCTCTATTAAAGTAAAAAGAATTGCAGCAATATAAATTCAGTTCTTCAGTGACTGCATATCATAGGTAACTTTTTTTATAAACTTTTATAATAACTGATGCAATAAAATTAGAACCAAGAAGTTGTAATTGTCAGTGGAGTGAATTATCACCATATAAAATATATTGTTCTCGAGTAACCCACACAAGAGAACCAGGAACTTGGTCTGATGACATTCTTGAAGGTGGTAGAGGTACGCTAACACGGGATGACCCCATAACAGCATCCCAACTCTGGCAACCAGAACTGGAGTGAATGTTGATTGCACGACTATACTCTGGTAATACTGTTTGCAAGTCTCTGATCAACCTATCCAATAAAAGAATCAGTGCTTTTAAGTAAACAGACATGTATAAATATACACCTTTAGTTTTATGTTTTCAAAGAATAAGGAAATCTATACTATAGTCTTTGATGCAAGACGGATTTGTACTTTCTATACTTTCTAAGGGAGAATGATAAAATGTTTTACATCTCTGAAACAAGTAGTTTAAGTAAGACCATAAAACACACTTTTCAAAGTTATATATAAAAAGTGTATATTACTTCACAAACAATATACAAAACTACCATTTATGAAAAAACAGAACTGGCAGAACTTTTGAGAATAAACTCCAAAAATGTATAAAATTTTGTTGCTTTGTTATAAAGAAATTCCATTTTAGTAAACTGTTATTGTAATTTCACAAATCTCAGAATGACTGTTAACAAACATACAAACAGGTTACACAGTCCTTGGAGTATATATAAATGCAAAATACACAATGGACTTTAAATTTTTTTTTCTTTTTGCTTTCATTTCATATTAAGTACAAAACTAAATCTCTCCTCATTCTTCTGTGAGTCTGGATTCTAGTCTAAAAAAATTACTAATTTTACTTTATAGTTTTTATAAGAGATGTATCATTAAAATAAGATCTTAGCTGGGATACCTATTGGACAATAACATCAGAATGTGTTCATGTACTACAGCAGTTAAGGCAAACAAATTAAATACTTCACGTTGTCTAGGTTAAATAATAAACACTCCTAATGAGTAACATGTACTACAGTAGTTAAGGCAAACAAATTAAATACTTCACGTTGTCTTGGTTAAATTATAAATACTCCTAATGAGTTACATGTACTACAGTAGTTAAGGCAAACAAATTAAATACTTCACGTTGTCTTGGTTAAATTATAAATACTCCTAATGAGTTACATGTACTACAGTAGTTAAGGCAAACAAATTAAATACTTCATGGTTAAATTATAAATACTCCTAATGAGTAACATGTACTACACTAGTTAAGGCAAACAAATTAAATACTTCACGTTGTCTTGGTTCAAGTATAAATACTCCTAATGAGTAACATGTACTACAGTAGTTAAGGCAAACAAATTAAATACTTCACATTGTCTTGGATAAATTATAAATACTCCTAATGAGTAATATGTACTACAGTAGTTAAGGCAAACAAATTAAATACTTCACGTTGTCTTGGTTAAATTATAAATACTCCTAATGAATTACATGTACTACAGTAGTTAAGGCAAACAAATTAAATACTTCACGTTGTCTTGGTTAAATTATAAATACTCCTAATGAGTTACATGTACTACAGTAGTTAAGGCAAACAAATTAAATACTTCATGTTGTCTTGGTTAAAGTATAAATACTCCTAATGAGTAACATGTACTATAGCAGTTAAGGCAAACAAATTAAATACTTCATGTTGTCTTGGTTAAAGTATAAATACTCCTAATGAGTTACATGTAACTACAGTGCTTTGTTTCATTCAAAATAAAAATCTGTACTACAAGTATAAAAACAATCAATTTGAAATACTAGCTATTAATGACATCCTTCAGTTGACATAAAATAAAATTAGAAATGTCCAGCTAAGTTTACCTTGTGTGTCCTACAAACAAGGTCAGCAAATTTCATACAAGTTCACATTGTGGCAGGAAACAAAATTAGTAATGTTCAGTTAGATTTACCATTTGTGTCCTATAAACAAGGTCAGCACATTTTAGATAGGACCAAATTGTGGCAGAAAACAAAATTAGAAATGTCCAATTAAGTTTACTTTGTGTGTCCTACAAACAAGGTCAGCAAATTTCATATAAGTTCACATTGTGGCAGAATGTAAAAATAGAAAAGTTCAGTTAGATTTACTTGTGTGTCCTACCAACAAGGTCAGTAGATTTCAGATATGTCTACACTGAAATACATTTTTAAACCTGACATACAAATACATTTTTTAAAGTAACAAGGATTGGTCTTCTTGAACATTTTGGTTTGCCCCTGATACATTATTTTCGGCAAAAGTGTAAACAACAAACAACAACAGTCTGATAATTTCTGAGACACTTACCATACTGTTATAAACTAGCTTTTATAGTAAACTCATTTAAGTCTGTGAGAATAGTCTGAGGATAAAATCTGACATTTTGATAAAGCTAATTATTTTGTGTTACACCCTACAAAAAAAATAACCTGAGGTTAAAAACTGCTTTTGTAGTGCATCCATTTAGTTCTGTATCACACCCTGTAAAAAATAGCCTGAGGTTAAAAACTACCTTTGTAGTGCATCCATTTAGTTCTGTATCACACCCTGTAAAAAATAGCCTGAGGTTAAAGCTAACCTTGAAGTAAATCTGTTTAGTTCTGTGTTGCACCCTATGATAAGAATAACCTGAAGTAAATTGCTGACCATAAAGTAAATCCATTTAATTCTGTATTACACCCTATGACAAGAACAATATGAAGTAAAGGTATGATCTTTAAGTAAATTCATTTAGTTCTGTTTTACACCTTCTGATAAGATAAACATGAAGTCAATGTCTGACCTTGTAGTGAATCCATTTAGTTCTGTATTGCACCCAGTAAGAAGGATCTGTGACAAAATTTCTTGTACGAGAGATGGTTCCAAACCTTGCAAAACTTCCTGCACTAACTCTGGAACTCTCATGGCAGAATACATAACTTCTGGTGCTAGGTATAACTCTGCTCCAAGCTCCACTTTCTCCAGTTTTGCTATATCACTGCTTGCTTGGCTAAGAGAAAATAAAAAAGCTAGTTAATATTCTTGCTTTGAAATCAATACATTTTGAATAGATTGATTAAATTAGAATAACAAAAAGAATAAAATATTTATCCTACACAAGTAGCCTTAAAATAAAGACAGGAATTAGCTTAATTACACAGTTCAAAAATCAGCTGAAACCAGAGAAGTGGTGGTAAGAAAAAAGACCTTAATCTCCTACTTGTTTAACTATTTATTTATTCTGAAAGTTTTAGGTCACTCTGATGGTACAACTCAGAACACTACTTTTAAAATTTAATTACAAAATATGAATCTCTGTCTAATAAAACAATTTACTGAAAAAATATTATAGACCTGGTATTTTTAGCATTATATAATTTTTATATATTCTTTTTGAGAGGTACCCACTTAATTTTTAAACATACACAAGGTCCCTGAAATAGCTTTTTTTTCTGGAATATTACACTTATTTTCCAAGTAAAATGTTTGATCTTGAAAACTAAGACATCCTCATGAATAATATTTGATGTACATGATTAAGTCTCACTTTTAAGGATGAAATGATGTACTCATAAAATGAATGTAATATTCCCACTAAAAGATGTTTTAAGAACTTTATATAATACTTATGTACCTTACTTCATGAATAAAAATTCTAAAAATATTCAAACATTCATTTTTGTAGTATCTCTAGGTTCTGAACAGTAACCATTGTATTTCTGGATTTTTTAAATTTTTCTATTAATTTCTTCCATCCACATTTTTGGCACTTTTACTTAGTCTGACATTTATGATAAAATTTTTGGAAGGCTTTAAGAACTTTTGGATTGCTATAAGTTCTTCAAATACCTATAGAGTGATAGGTTTCTTTTTGGTGAGTGTAAAACACGTAAATACACCAGTTTGATTTTAGACTGATATCTTATTGGAGAAGTATTGTTTATATGATGTTGAATTTACTAAGTGTATCACCACAACATTTGGGAAGCTTTTAGTGAGTGTTAAAAGTCTGTTGTACACAAAAAAATCAGAAATGTTAACAAAGTATTTCTATTAAAACTTTGTCTGTGAATTTCTGAAGCCTTTATGGAATTCATCTAGGTGAAAGGTGATTTTCATGCTAAGAATAAAGATACTTATTTTCAAGTTGCAGTTTTGAATTTTCATAACCTATAGAACATCCTAAATGAATATCAAAAGTTTTTTCTACAGCAAAACATCATTTTATTCTCATCTGATTTCATTTAGTTTTACTGCTTTGCAGCTGAACTTAGAACACCTCAGAGTATTCTAAAACCATTTATTACAGCAGGACAGCTTTGTTTAAACAAATCAGGTTACAATCATGCCATGCAATGTGCACACAGAGTATCACCAAAAATTTTTGTAAATTTAATTAGTTTTTCATTTAAATTTCTTTATCTAACCTACTAAGTTAGTAATTTTTACATATCAGTTACTTTTATACAAATGAATAAAAATATATATTTAAAAAACAAGAAATTTAGTAGTTATGTCTGAACTCAGGCCTTTTGTCATCAAGAGCAAGAAACTCAAACAATGAAACTGAGGCCAAATATCTATATGCAAGTAGAAAAACGAACTAGACTGTATGAAGAATCTTGTGAAGAAAAAGCTGATGTTTCTATTGATTATAAATAATCCAATAGCAATGTTAAAGAGATCTACTGACACTTTTGGAAAGACAGATTGGTACAGGAGAAGCATGTTATGAGGGTTTGACAGTTACTTTTATATCTCAGTAAAGCAAGAAGATGTTCTAAATTGATTCTGGCTTTTCAATATCTATAGTATGATTTTCTAATTAATTGGACACTCTGAAACCCATAAAAGGATAGAAAAAAATCTAAAATTGGCAATTAGGAGAATAAGAGAGTCATGTGACACAGACAATGGAAAATTTAAAATATATTTAAATACTTCATTCTCAAATTAAGAAATTGAAACTTATATAAAATAAGAATTTGAACTATAAACTACATTTTGATGCCAATTTTATTGGCATACATTAACAACAAAGTTATTTCATTAAATTTTGAATATAATTCTGTAAAAGGTCCTTAACATACATTTTAACCCTACAGATATAATAGATACAATCGATTACCAAAGAGCAGCAATTACATCAATTAGTGTTGCATAAATTAACTGAAATTATGATTAAATCAATTAATCAAAATTCATTTTTCCAACTTTTAATGTTTCCTGTTATTCCAACAATTGGTTAGCCCTATGTATATGGCTAATATAGGCTATGTAATTAAACAACTTTGTTATAAATGTATACCAACAAAATTAGCATCACAATGTAGTTTATAATTTAAATTTTTATATTATATAAATTCTAATTCTTTGATTTTAAAAGAAAATATCTTTAAAAATTCTTAATCTTCACTTTTGTTATCACGTGATAAGAAAGTGCTCTAAATTCTCCTCTTTTAGTATGTATAGCTTTAATACTACACTATCTAAGGAATTTGAGCACAGTATATAAAAAATGAAAAGGTCAAATGTACAGTTTTAAAGTCTTAACTTCTCCATTTGCTGAGATTTCAAGAAATTTTCACAACCTACAAAAAACGCCCCCCCCCCCAATCTATTCTAACTTTCAATATATTTTTCAAAACTACATGCTATAATTTGGCATACATGTTCATAACCAATAGAAAGGAATTATTATATATTTTAAGATTTCATTGGTCCTTTTGAATTTGTTGTAAAGAAGGTTAGATAAAGTATTTTAATTTTTTATAGTGAAGATGATGCACATAAAAGTTATAATTTTCCTCTACTGAAAATGTATTTCCAATAGGTACTTACCTCCACACACAGATATAGCTATTCTCATTCAGTGCTGCCCTCTATATGCAAAAAATTGTTTGCATGCCACAAGCCTTGAGCTGTCACGTACTCCACGATCAACAAATTTTGCTATTCTCATTCAATGCTGCCCTCTATATGCAAAAATGTTTTGGCATGCCATAAGGACAAGAATGTTAGGTACATAATGAGAAAGAGTTCTCCAACTGGAAAATCCAACCACCAAAGCTGTGTGGGTAAGAAGCATATAAGTATGTTGTGACAACTCCAATACAGAATGAACTAACAGAATTGAGATGACCAAGTTCTGGTGTAAGTACAATCCTCCATTATACTGAAGTCAGGTAAAACTGATCACCCAACAAACAACTGACAGATCTGAAACAAGGTTGAAGGGTTAGGTATGAAACTGGTACCCAACCCTGTGGTGAACAAACCTAACATAGCATAACAAGAGATGAAAAATAGGAAAATGGGTATAAAAATATGAAATGCCTACCTTGGGCATCCTCAGTCCTGGAAAAATGGCTCATCAGAGTGTGATAAATTACAACATAGTACAATGAGAAAGAACCAACAAGTGATTGACGGAGGACAAATCAATCACAGAACTCTAAACATCATCAAGAATACATGAGTAATGGAGGAATCCTTAGAGGTAGGGCAAGTAATTTGGTAGGAAGGAGCCGGACATGGAACATGAAGAAAGAATGCAATAACTCAGAATGAGACAAAGGAGCAATCCCTCCAAAATAATTTAATGAAGCATCACAAATGTCCCACATGATGTAAAGTCACAGGAGTAACTCCCCCCCCCCCAAAAAAAGAATTTAATGGTGTAAAAAAAGAGCTGATCATTAGTCTCAAGTAGAAGTGGATGATAAATGAACTTGATACAAGATGTTGTACCATCCCAAAGGCAAAGAAGCTACATATGAAGGGCAAGAGCTGAAGATGGCAAATGCCCTAACATTGAAGTAAGGAGGGATAGGGTATCCTATTAAAATCCCCAAGAATTAGGAGGAATGCCTCAAAAAGTAGATGAATGGCGAATAATTCCTGTTGGACAATTGATAGAGGAAGATGAAGGCCAGAAAACTTGGTGAAGGATAAAAAGATAGGATTATCAGGGTCCACCCCCTTAGAGGCAACAGAGATTCTAAGTGCAGAGAATCAAGAAAACAAAAAACAATCTGCCTTATAGTAAGTTAAGGCAAAATGAATCAAAACCCACTGAGGACAAGGCATGCAAGTAACCTCTTTCAAAAGAGATAAAAAGGTCCAGCATGAACCATAATGTATGGAGGAGGAGTGGGAAAAAAAATTACCATGACACATTTCTAAAAAAGGCTGAGGTAGGCATAGCAGACTTCACAAGAGAGTCCGGTAAGCCATTTTTTGTTGTTTGTACATACCATGATTTGATGAACACTGTGCTAATCAATTAATCAAATGTAATCAATTACTGAGGCCATCAATCAACCAATAAGCAAATAACAATGACCACTTGGGCTCTACTGAGGTACTTTTATGATTTCAAGCTCTTTTGTTTATCTTTACAATAAAACTTAATTGATGGACAACAATTTATTATACAATAATAGTTCAATACCGTAAAATTCCAGCAATACTACTTATGCATTTAATACTGCAATTTGGTCAATTGCCTATCGGTATCATATTGATATCAGTATCGTTTTATTTTTGGTGTATTGTGTAACGAATTTGTTATTATATATTTATTTTAATATCAACGTTT